CGAGCCACATGCGGCTCTTTGGCCCCTTGAGTGTGGCTCTTCCACAAAATACCGACTTCTGTGCATGGGCCACGAAGTTTCAATCGCACTGTACCTGCGCACCCACACGAGGTATTTTGTGGAAGAGCCACACTCAAGGGGCCAAAGAGCCGCATGTGGCTCGAGAGCCGCGGTTTGCCAACCACTGGTCTAGGCGACAGAGCCTGAGGCCAGCAATTGCTGTTTCCAGGACAGAGGTTGCTCATGTGCTGCGGCTACTGGGGTTGGCTCCTCTCACGAGCCGGGGGACAGCTGCCCGATCCTCTGCCTTCCCTTTTGCAGCTTTAGTGGGGAGAGGGAAGCATTTGGGCTGGGAAAGGAGCCACTGGGAGGGTCCTATGGAGGTGGCTAGCTGACCAGATGCCCGGGTCACCTTTGCCTTCTCTCTCCCACCTGCCCCGCAGTATGTGGCCTTCGCCTCCCTCTTCTTCATCCTCATCTCCATCACCACCTTTTGCCTGGAGACCCACGAGGGCTTCATCCACATCATCAACAAGACGGTGACGCAGGCCTCCCCGATCCCCGGGGCCCCCCCGGAGAACATCACCAACATCGAGGTGGAGACGGAGCCCTTCCTGACCTACGTGGAGGGCGTGTGCGTGGTCTGGTTCACCTTCGAGTTCCTCATGCGCATCACCTTCTGCCCGGACAAGGTGGAATTTCTCAAGAGCAGCCTCAACATCATCGACTGCGTGGCCATCCTGCCCTTCTATCTCGAGGTGGGCCTGTCGGGCCTCAGCTCCAAGGCCGCCAAGGACGTGCTGGGCTTCCTGCGGGTCGTCCGCTTCGTGCGCATCCTGCGCATCTTCAAGCTCACGCGCCACTTCGTGGGGCTGCGCGTGCTGGGCCACACGCTGCGCGCCAGCACCAACGAGTTCCTGCTGCTCATCATCTTCCTGGCGCTGGGCGTGCTCATCTTCGCCACCATGATCTACTACGCCGAGCGCATTGGCGCTGACCCGGATGACATCCTGGGCTCCAACCACACCTACTTCAAGAACATCCCCATTGGCTTCTGGTGGGCCGTGGTGACCATGACGACCCTGGGCTACGGAGACATGTACCCCAAGACGTGGTCGGGGATGCTGGTCGGGGCGCTGTGTGCCCTGGCGGGGGTGCTCACCATCGCCATGCCCGTGCCCGTCATTGTCAACAACTTCGGCATGTACTACTCGCTGGCCATGGCCAAGCAGAAGCTGCCCAAGAAGAAGAATAAACACATCCCCCGGCCCCCGCTGCCCGGCTCCCCCAATTACTGCAAG